CTTCTGCACCGTGGGTTGAGAGCGCACACAGGCCAAGCGATGGGATGGGGGCTCGGGTCTGACACCCAGCTCTGCACATTCCTGGGCAGCTTCCTCATTTGTAGATCGGGGACAACGGCCACTGCTGAGGCTCGTTGAGACGATTAAATCAAATGAGCTGCCTCACTGCTCACCCTCCCCAGGTGCTGAAGACGCGGCTGACCCTGCGCCGGACGGGCCAGTACAAGGGGCTGCTGGACTGCGCCAGGCAGATCCTGGAGCGGGAGGGCACCCGCGCCCTTTACCGCGGCTACCTGCCCAACATGCTCGGCATCATCCCTTATGCCTGCACCGACCTGGCTGTCTATGAGGTGTAGTCCCATGGGGGCGGGGGGCAAGGGTGGCATGCACTCAGGCCTTAGCAAGCTTGTCCTATCTCCCTTTCTCTTGCAGATGCTCAGGTGCTTCTGGCTGAAGTCAGGCAGGGACATGGAGGACCCTAGTGGCCTAGTCAGTCTGTCGTCTGTGACGCTGTCTACGACTTGTGGCCAGATGGCCAGTTACCCGCTGACCTTGGTGCGCACCAGGATGCAGGCTCAAGGTCAGCCTGGCCCAGTGGCCACTGTGTATGCTCCTCTCCCTCATCTCCCTTCTCTGAACTTTCTCATATTCCCAAACTCTCATCTGATCCTGCTCACTTTTGCTGACCCCCAAACCCACCAAGACTAACACTCAACCCCAAATCTGATCCCAGCCCTCAGATCAACACTACAGATTACTAAAATGAACAGCCATCTCCCAAATGATTGCCATACACTCCCCGCAGGCACCCATACTGACCTCAAAACATACACCCCGAAAATGACCTCCCACCTTCTTCAAATCAGACCCAGCCCTCGATGGCTCCAAAAGTCAAAACGGTTCCTAAATTTGCCAAATCTGACCATCAGATGTCCCAAAACTCATAACCACTTCCCCTACAACCTTGGAACTCCCCAAATGTGACTCCCCAGGATGGACTCTCAGTCCCTAATCACCCTCAGACATCCAAATGGGCCCTCAGCCAGCCACCTTGGTCTCGAAAGTCTCCCCAGACTACTCCTTAACACGGTCTCTCAAATCTATAGCAGATCTAAGAAGCCCATTCCAAATAAGCTCGAATGTTTTCTGAGATATTCCCCAAAACAAAACCTCAAAATTCCTGCCAGAATTGATCTCGTTCTCCTCAAACTGACCAATTTTTTATAAAAGCCTTCCCAATTCCTTTCCCACTGATCCCCAGACCCCTGCCCCTGGCTTCACCCCCTCACCTCCCTCACCCACCATTCCAGCCTCTGACCGAGGCCCTGAGCTCGCCCCTGTCCCTACAGACACCGTGGAGGGTTTGAACCCCACCATGAGCGAAGTCTTCCGGCGGATCCTGGCCCAGCAGGGCTGGCCGGGGCTGTACCGAGGCATGACCCCCACGTTACTGAAGGTTTTGCCAGCAGCTGGCATCAGCTATGTGGTATACGAAGCCATGAAGAAGACCCTGGGTGTGTAGGCAGCGAGCTAAGTGACACACCCTGGGCAGAAATGGACAGGAGGATCCAGTGTCCCCCGGCCTCAACGAGCCCTCCAGGCTTGGGCCCCAGGGCAGATTCTGTCAAGAAAAGCAGACTGGAGGTCTGCGCCAGAAGATGCCTGGGGAGCCTTCCTCAGGGTACAGCCTGCGACTAGTATGGACTCCAGTTTGGCTCATAGTGGTCTGTCTGTTCTGGATCCAGGGCGAAAACGGTGAACTTGGAGTCAAACCAGGAATAAAGAGATGGTTTCTGTTAGACATGTCTGGGATACCTGGGTCCAGGAGGGAAGCTGGGGACCTGGATACTTGGGTCCAAGAGAGGAGCTGGGTACCTTGGGCCCCTCTGTCCTGAATTGGAAGCCTGGACGATGCCTGGGTCCGAGAGAGTTGTTGAAGCAAGTGTGGGGTGTATTAGAGTCTGGGATCCCTCAGGCCTGGGAGGGAACCAATAGCCCAAGACCCTTGAGTTCAAGAGGTGAGCTGGTTCCATGAGTCCTGGAAGAGAAGATCCATTGGTGGAGAGGAGAAGGAGTCCAGGGGATCCCTGGGTTTCCCCCCGCTCTAAGGTCATTTCACCTCCGGAAGCACCGGATCTCCAAGGCCTCAAGCAGGCCACGCGCCTGGCCTCCCCAGCCAGGCTCCAGGGGCGCTAAACCTGACGTCAGGCCTCTATCCCAGCAGCCGGTCGCCACTGACTACGTCGGCTGCCACTCACTCTCGTTCCCGCTAATCGCTTCTCCGTCTGGTGGCCGGCTCCGCCCCAATGCAGCTGCGTTTCCACTGGCTCCCACCAAAACTGGGCATCTTTACTTCATCGCCGTTTGTCCTCAGCCGTGTCAGTCACCTAACACCCGCCCCTGTTGCTCGGCCATTGGCTTAGAAGTCAAGGCTAGAATAGGATTCTGGTTAACATGGAAAGCAATCGGGTCCAAACCCAAGTGCATCACCCAGAACTAGTCAGGGATTGGATTAAATTGACTGCCAATCTTTGCAAGAAACGCCTTTCGCGTGTACTCATTGGCTTGCGTATACGACTATCTCACTGGGAGCCTGCCCAGCTCGTTCAAAGGTGCCTTTTTCTAGGCTCCTCCTTCCTGTCCACTTGACTCTTCGGAGCCGTCAATCTGGTTCTGAAGCCGCCCCGCGATTCTGGAACTCCTGCTTCATTGGGCCTCCCGCCTTCTCGATCGCCTCGATTTGCCCGCCCAGAGCCGAGAGCCCGCAGGCCATTGGCTGCGAGAGCTGTCAGTTACACGGCGCCTCCCGCCCACTGCCTTTCGCGGCTGTCCGATTGGTCGCTTGCCTACAGAGCCCGCGATTGGTGTCCGGGGAGCGGCGGCGGCCTCCCATTGGCCTGGCGGCGTTGTCCGTCACGCCGGCTGCGGGAGGGGGCGTCCCTCTCCCCGCCATCGTCTTCCCAGCCGCTGGGTTCCCAGAGTGCTCCGCGGCCGTGTGGAGCGAGGCCTTGTTCCCG